TATATATATATATATATATATATATATATGTGTGTGTGTGTGTATAGCCTTATTTTGAAAACTTTGTAATTTCGTGACCCATGATATCTTTAGACCACGGAAATTAGTTAAAAAATATATATATATATATATATATATATATAATAAAAAAAACATCTCCTTCACTCTCCTCTATTAACACAAAAATACATGTATAATTGAATATGTATAGAAGATAAACATTTTTTTATAACTATTATTATAGGTTGTGAGTAGACTTAAAATTTACGAGATTTGATATAACTTATGAATATATTGATACTTGCAAAACTAAATCTAATACATGCAAACATTGTGAACACCCTAATTAATAAAATTCTTATATGTTCAATTTATGTGCAAATTTACATTGTATTCTCCAAACTTTTTTCTACGAAAAAAAGGCAAAGTAGAGAAAAAGGAGGAAATTAAATAAAAACTAGTGTTTTTGAAACTTCTTTTAGGGGAGAAATGGAAAATCGAAGAAAAATAATGATAAATTTCCTTCTAAATGTAGTAGAGTGAACATGGTACGATACCATACTATTTTTTCCAGTATCGTGTACCAATAAATTATAATTGATATGTAAATATTTAAAAAAAAAATTGGAGAATTAATTATATGTATATCTATATATATCATGAGACAAGACTATACCCTCCTAAATCTAACCATGGACCATCACCATTTCCTTCTCGTATCATTATCATTCCAAAGCCACATTAATCCCACTCTCCGACTAGCCACCAAACTCATACGCGCCGGTGCTCGAGTCTCCTTCGCTACCACCGTCAGCGGTCTCAACAACCTCAAGACCCGCCCTTCCCTACCTGGCTTATCCTACGATTGCTTCTCCGACGGCAACGACACCGAACCCGACGCCAATGTCCGAAAGCCAGGCTACGTTCAAGAAATCGAGCTTATTGGCTCCATTAACCTCAAAAACCTCTTGCTATCAAAGGCTAAACAAGGCGAAAAAGTGGATTTCTTAATCTACGGCATGTGTATACCATGGGTGGCTAAGGTGGCGCGTGAGCTTCACTTGCCGTCGGCCTTTTTCTTTTTCCAATCAGCAGCTTCCTTCTCTGTGGTGGTATACCAGTTCTTCAAAGGTGATGGTGGAATGGTGAATTCCGATATTGACCCCAACGGTTTATTACAAATACCAGGATTGCCCTTGTTGAGACACGGTGAAATCCCGCAGTTTCTGCGACCCACGGAGGCATCGTTCCCTGTTTTCAGAGAGCACATAGAAACCCTAGAAAAACACCCAAATCCATGCATACTACTCAACACTTTTGATGGTTTAGAAGAAGAATCCATCAAACCAATACGTGATCATATCAACATATTCTCCGTTGCGCCATTAATTCCCGGAGAAACGGAGGAGCCGTTCATCTGTGATATTTTTCAGGATTCCGATCGAGAAACGTATCTCCGGTGGCTAGATTCGAAACCTGCAAAATCGGTGATTTACGTATCGTTTGGAAGCATCGTGGAGTTAGGGAAAAAGCAAAAAGAGGAGATACTTGAAGGATTGATCGAAGCTGGATATCCATTTTTGTGGGTTATTCGCAACCACGGAGAAGATGATGAAGTGGCGAAGAGTTACAGGGCGGAGGCAGCGACGGCTGATGGTAATGGGTTGATAGTGAGATGGTGTTCACAGGTGGAGGTGTTGAACCACTTTGCAATCGGGTGTTTCGTGTCGCATTGTGGGTGGAACTCGATATCGGAAAGTATGGTAGGCGGGGTGGCGGTGGTAGGGTGTCCGCAGTTTTCAGACCAGATGATGAATATGAAGATGGTGGAGGAAGTGTGGGGGAATGGGGTGAAGGCGGTGGCGGACGGTGATGGTGTGGTGGGGCGGGAAGGGATAAAGAGGTGTTTGAAGGTGGCAATGGAAAGTGAAGAGATCAAGAGAAACTGTGAGAGATTGAAAGCCATAGCCATGGAAGCTGTGGTGGACGGCGGGTCATCGCATACAAACTTAAAACGGCTTTTCGAAAGCTTTAAATGCAATTCATGATTTCTGTAAAATAGAAAAAATTATGAACTCCTTATCAAATGTTAACATGATAAGTATCTTCCTGAGTTATTTATTTCTGGTAAAAATACTTAAATTAGTAACCTATTTTTATAAAGAAAATTATCATAACATTTTATTTTCAGTTTTTTTTGCTACAATAATATACTTTTAAAATATTTTTTTTATTAGGACGCCGTATTTTCAAAATTTTATCTGTTATAGCATTAGGTAACCTGTTACTTTTTGAACATATATTTCTTTGTTGATGTGTCAAACTTAAAATGACATTGAAGCCACATAGAATAATCTGTTAGACATGAGATAACTTACATGTCATTTAAAAAAAAAAAACTAATTTGAAAAACAACTTTTGTCGAACTTTTCTTTGAACATTTCTTTTTCTTCTCAAAATCATTTTCTTGAAACCTTTTTACAAGTCTCTTGAGAACTTACTATGGGGGTGTTCGAGATTGATTATTTAAAATAACTTATGTTTTTGTAAAAGTGTCTATCAACTTATATTGTAGCAAACTAGAGTTTTATAAAAAGTGTTTGGATTAACTTATGGCGGTATCACAGCAGATAAGTTGATAAAATAGATAGAGATACAATTTTCTTTTTATCATCCAAACAACTAAAACTCATTATTGTCGGTAAAAGTATGTTGCTACTTTGGGCATTTTACCCTTTATTTTACTGTATGAAAATGGTAAAAACCAAAAATATTATATGGTAAAACAAATAAGGAGTAAGAATCTTACTTGGTAAATGAAGGTTGGTTAATGATTATTGAGTAAGAGATGTTTATTGAAAATGGAGTTTACATAAATACATGAAATATTTATATAAATTTTATTAAAATAAAATTCGATTTAACAAATAAATTTAATCGAGAAAATTAATTATTTTAATAAATTAATATTTTTAAATGATGAAATAACGTGTATCCATCATGTCCATGCATTATACACGTGTGCATCTTCATCAGGATACGTATGAAGAGAAAATACAAATAAGACAAAAAAGATAGCCTCTGATGGTTGGCAGTCACAGACGTATAAAGAGAAAATACAAATGAGACAAATGGGTTGTTTGGAATTGCTGAATGATTTGATATAAAATAATTAATAGGTTCTCATGATATAATATAAAATGAAATATAATTGTTTGGTAATTGTGTAAAAATGAAATTAAGGTAGTGTTTAAGGGAGATTCAGGATACAAAATCATTCAGAGAGTTTTAGAACCATTAAGGGACAGACTTTTTTTTGTTGCCAAACAAAATTCATCTCTTAACGATTCAGACGTACCTCTTAATGAAACTATTAAGAGGTAAACAAACAACCTCAAAGCCTATGATGGTTGGCAGGCACATAAGTGGTGAATACTCGATTCTGATATCATTTGTAATGACTGAAACCTTTGGTGAGGTTTGAACCCTTGAACTGTTAAGAGACTATGGTTTACAATACCATTAAGCCAAAGACCTTATACTTTAAATTTTTTTTTATGTATTTAAACCATTTTCCCTTAAAAAAGTTGTATTCTAATTGAATTTCATATACTTTGGTCAAAATATAAGCCCCAAGTTGGTCCCAAAAATCCATTCATTATGAAAATTTGTATAATTATATTTGAATAAAAATTGATTACCGATAATTCTAATCTGTTTTATACAAAACCTGCTTTTAAGGTTATTAATGTGAGGAGATATGTTTTTGACTCACTCAGCGGTTAAGACTAGGGGTGCTCAAAAACCCGACTAACCCGATCAACCCAATCCAACTCAACGCGAAATAACCCAATTCGAAGCAACCCGATGTCTAATCGATTTGTAAAATTGTCAAACCGTATGTATCAGGTTGATATTGGATTACTATTATTTGAACCCAACCCAACCCAACCCGATATCCTTTTATTTCTTGGATTTAATATGCTTGTTGAATTTATATTAATATATACATTAGAAAATTACACTATCATGTATGTTTTTCATATAGGGAAAATTGCACCAAAATGGAACCAACTTTCACCTAATTCCTATTTTAGGGAACCAACTTTTAAAATCATCATTTTGGGGAACCAACTTGCACCTGATTCCTATTTTAGGGAATCAATTTTCAAAATCTTCATTTTGGGGAACCAACTTGCACCTGATTCCTATTTTGTGGAACCAACTTTCAAAATCGTCATTTTGGGGAACCAACTTGCACCTGATTCCTATTTTAGGGAATCAACTTTCAAAATCGTCATTTTGGGGAACCAACTTGCACCTGATTCCTATTTTGGGAAACCAACTTGCAAAATAATTATAGAAAAATAACAAAAATTTGTTTTTTCCAAAAATTAATGCAATAAAATCTATTTTTCATTCCAAATCTCGTTTTTTTAATTCATATATCAAATTGAACATTTAAAAAAAATCCAAATTACAATAATAAAAATTGTTTTTTACTAATGGAAAAAAAATCAATTTAATAGAAAAAATTAATTAATGCAATTGGTTAGATATAAAAATCTTGAATGTGATATTTAATATTTATTTTTTATTGTATCAATTAATTTTTNTGTACTAAATATAAAAAAAGGAAAAGAAATATGTCATTTTTATAAATAATATTTTTTTAAAATATACTTTTTATAACAAAATGTTGGATAATTTTTTAATTTTAACAGTCTTTTTAAAGGGTTTTCATTTCTTTCATCCATTTTCTCTTCTAAAAATGTTTTGAAAATATCAGTTTTTTTACTTTCCTCCCCTTTCCTTTTTTTTTCCTTCATAAAAAAAGTTTTGAGAACAAAGTGTTAATATTAAGTGTAATTGTGACCTTGAAAAAACGCAGGGGAAAATAATATTGGTTACAGTTATAGAAAGCTTTTCTAAAACATTAAAACCCATTATGGATCTAGTGACAATTAGAACAAAATAGAACATGTCATAGGATGTTTAGAACTCGTACCTTTTCAGACTTGGAAATGGTTTTGACGAAGTAATTTAGAAACCAAGCCATGTTTCCTTCACAGGTGACCCAGACACGAACACGCTTTGCGCCTTCACTTGGTGTTAGCCCAAAACCCTAAATTTGTATGTGTATTACAGAAAATAAAAGATTTATTTTTTGTATTTTTGATAGCTAAATCTAAAAAGATTCAATCACTTGATTTTGATTTAGCCTATCACCTTATTTATATGGAAAGTCTTACGGTTAGTTCATAACTCAAACAAGGTTTTAGTAATTATCTTTGATATTTATATAATTATTTTAAACTTTAAAATCAGGGCAAAATACACAAAATAACAATCTACTTTCATAAATTTCTTTATTATAGCATTGTACTTCCAGTTTTTCTTATTATAGATAACACTCTGTAACTATCATAATTACACTTTAACACATATTTTTATAATTATTCTTCAAGAATACTTATTTCAAAAATCTACCTGATTTAACTTGTGTTATTTTTCCTGTATATTTACATATACTTATTAAGAATATTTTTGTGTGACACATGTACTGAATATATAATAATTTATATTAAGTTTTATAAATTTCCTTAAAATGAAGAATTCTATATTCTTTTTATGCAAAAATAGCAACACATTTGATTTTTGTTCATTTAAAAAATGTATTATTGTAATTTTACATAAAATAATAATATATTTTAAATTTTTATTTATCAATGGTAAAAGGCAATTCTAACTTTCTAATCTCTTTATCCTACCAAATTGGATAAAAAGGTGCTAATTATGTTGGTATCTTGTCATAATGTTTGGACTAAAATCAAAATGGTATAAATGGACTGAAATGCCCTTGATTTAACGGACTGGAGTGTAACTCCGTTGGGGACAAGGACCAAGCTTGAAATGAAATACAAACCACGGGGATGTCCAATGTACTTATTTTAAATGAGGTGTAGTATTCGGATTTTGAGCACACCGTAGGGGCCCATAATGTAATTTACTCTTAAAAATGTTTATTAAATTAAAATATATATTAAATAATAATTATTTTATTTATTTTTAAAAACTATTAAATTGACCAAATAACTTTTGCATTATAAAATTCCAAGTTTAGAAAAAATAAAGAAAATCAAAGTGGAATTTACATATTTTTTGGATTTGGACATTAAAATATATAAACAAAATATGGGAAATTAATTAAGGCTAACATGGAATACTAAATTCTCCAACATTTTGTTTTGGAAATTATAATTTATTAAAAAAGTTATTATATATTAAATATATATTTATTTGACCAAAATTATATTAAATATTTTAGTAAAAGTAAATAATAATTTTTATCCTTGTGGTTTATTAATAATTTTGATTTTTGTTCTTGTGGTTTAAAAATTGTGATTTTCATACATATGGTTTGTAAGGAATCAAAATAGTAAAAAAGATAAAACCACAAGCAACAATAAATTGTAAATTATAAAAAACAAAAATAGCAGTAAAAATGGATAAAAACCACAATTTTTAAATCACGGGGCTGAAAATCACAATTTTTTAGAAACCACAAGGACTAAAAACGTAATTTATACTTTTAATACGTTAGAAGTGGAACTTTGCAATATAGTGGAACGTATTCAACACATCTTTTTTTTATTAACCTGGATATTCAACTCGTTATGGGAGCCGACTAATCTCAGGACGACCATCTGCTTTGCAGATAGCTCGGAGTCACCGCATTTAAACCTCCGTGGCCATAAGGGGATTTTTATTTCTCCCTGGATTTGAACCTGAGACCTCCAGGTACTTTTGATATTTGGAGTCAAGCTCAAACCAATCAGACACCACCCCTTGTGGTTTTCAGTACATTTTTTATTCCATATTTGTTTGACTTCATTTTATAAATCTATGTGATTTTGAAAGAACAAGAGAGAATTTTGTTGGTTACGAGTTTTATTTTGTAATAAAGCATATTTATTACTAGATTTTGAGATAGTTAGTAAATTTCATGTGTATTAATAAGATGTAAATGTTGAATAATACCGTAAAATTATTGTATGTATATATTCACATGTAAATATACTCATGATTCAAATTTCCATAATTGGATTAAATATATA